TTTAATCTAAGGTTTCCGGTTCTATAAATAGCTGTACTCGTATTATGCTGCCATTTGACGTCGATATTCGGTGAGAACAGGATCCTTCCTTGTCGAGTTGAACACCGTCGTGTAACATACGTAATAAATACAGCTTCATCGTGGCACTATTTTCCACTAGGCTAAATTTTGTTTATGCAGGATTCTATTAGTCGGATGTTTAAAAGTATGCTGTTAGAAAATTTTATTTATAAGAATAAAGAAGGAAGTAAAAAGAAGAAGTCACGTCATAAAAGTAAGAAAAATACGTGATACGTGACATTTTATAGATTCCTGTGGAGCCAGCTGCAACTATATTGTTGTTGTAGCATTGGTTGTCTCAACCGGGGAAGGACCACACTGTTGCTGAATACCAGCGTCAAATAGCAGCTCAATGCTGCTGTGTTTCGTATAACGCGTGAAATCGGAGAACCGGAGACCCTTATTACTAGAAATGAAGCATTCTTTCATAGCATTATAAGGTGACAACGCACCTGAATTTTGAATCTTAATTGGAGATAGGATGTCTTCGGGCCATAGTATCTAATCACCATGGGGTGAACTGTGTTTTTGTTTGTCATCCTAATTCAAAAGTATACATAAAAAGTCACAAAAGTAAAAAATACTGCATTTTTAATATGGGAGCGATCAATAAAATTACATGCCTAAGTCGACATTTCCATGGAAAAGTCTCCAATCACGTATACCTATGTGCAAGGCAAACTTGAGCACTCCCTTTGAACTAAATGATCTACCTCACTCGTTTATTATATATACATATTTAAACTCCAACTATCAAAATAAAGTAAAGTTTTTTAATTGGCCTTTAGGGTTGAAACAGGAATTATATTTTATTTATTATTCTAAAATTTTACTCCAAGAATTTCTTTAATATAGGTTTTTTCAAAGAATAATTCTGACTAACGAGCACACCGTCTAACTGATGGTGGTGGACAAGTGGATGCTTATACACATAAACATTTATTCATTTAAGGTTAAAATAAATCGTTTTTTATTTACAAAAAAATACGTGTCTATCTACCACCCACTAAATTATTCCTCGCTAGTCTTAAGCGTATTTTATTCTTCAAGCATACAGGTTTTCACTCAATGTTCTCCTTTATTACCGTGCATATGAAATTGAGGTAAACGCTTATATATTATTAAAATGGTGCAATACGTAGAGCAATATCAGTGTAATTTTAAGATTCTTGGGTCTACTCCAAATGTTTTAGGTTCTTTAATATTGTTTCAAGTATTTGTGAGGCAATAGAATCGTGCTGTAAATATTTTATGAACAAATTATTGAGCAGTTAGTTTTGACCTTCGCTTACTCTAATCAGTCCGTTAAATTTTACGACACGGAATGGGCTGGGTACCTTTTTTCATGAGATATATAGTATCATATATACCACGCATGGTCTGGCAATATAGCTCATAATATCGACAATCGATAGAGGAGAAAAATTTCTCAAGTAGCAGCCTCGTTCAGAACCGTGCTTTGAGGCATTGTTTGTGGAAAGCCTATGTTCAACAGTAAAATTATGAAGGACTGTAATAACGATGATGATGATGAAAATGATGCGCTGGGTATAACATTAATATAATATGGTATTATAATTATAATAATAATTATTACGGCAAATACGACAATTTGAGAAACTGAAAATAGACTACAATCGTAGGACTATAATTATTGAAGGGTACGTACGCACGAGATGAGTTTTATGTCATACGCATAATAAAATTAACTAACCATTATTTTTATAATAGCATTCAAAATAAAAGCGGTAAAATAAAAATACATATCCAGCTCTATGGATTATGTATTGTATGGATAAGTAAAGAAGTTACGTTCATTTTATCTTTTCGACTGAAATAGTTTGGGGTAAGGAAAATATTCCTCCGTTTTATATCCCGGATAATAAATCAAAAGGTCCACTGAATACACACAATGTCTGAATGCTTCGCGAAGTATTTATTACATGTTCATTCAGCTTGCTTGATTTACGAAGCGAATTGGGATTACGTATTAATCTATAAGTTTTCATGATATTTTTCCAAGGAAGGACTAAAATTTGGAAAGGTTGTCTGTAAGAAATCGCTTTTAGCGATAAGACCGCCCATTGTGACACTATTTTTTTTCTTCTTCTTTCGTTTATGTATTGATTTGGTGTACAATAAAGAATTATCTATCTATCTATCTAAAATTTTTACACTTTAAATTTTTAACTATATACTATTAAACATACTGTACCTTTTTAAATGGCTTTGCATTAGTGTTACCTACAAAATGATTTTTTTGACAGTTATAATTAAAATAAAAAAAAATGTGAAAACAGATTTTAAATACATTCAAAATTAAATAATAGTTTCCGAAATCGGTGTAAAAATATAACATCTTATAAAATAAAGTTCACTTTAAAGTCACGTTTTTAGTTTTTTTTTAAGTTTAATTTATTAATCATCATCATCTAAAATA